GGGCACATGGGGGATGGGAAAGGGGGCAAGGGGCAAGTGGCAGGGGAGCAGATGGTAGGGGGCAAACACAGGTGTCAAGGGGGCACACAGAAGAGGGTCAGGCACTGGGGGGACATCTGGCAGGGGGCAAACACATATAGCAGGGAAAGTGACAGAGAGGACAACAAGAAGGGGTCTGGATCCTCTGGCCCCCACCACTGCTTTCCCTGCCACAGTCAGAGCTAGAGACTCCACAGAAGGTAAGTGGTGGGTGCAAGGGTGCAGACAATGGGGGCAAACAGGGAGTGGAGGGAGAGCAGGGCGTGTAGGTGGGTGGATGGGATGGGGCCAGGGATGGGCAAAGAGCAGCACCCAGGAGCAGGATGGGTAGGTGGGGCTAGGGCCAGGATCAGGGGATCGTGACAGCATGGGGTAGGGGCCTAGAACAGAGCTGCCACATGCTGCCCGCATGTCCCTGTGACAGGTGCTAGTTCCACGGACAGGGGCATGCTGGGAGCAGATTGCGGCTCTGTCCCAGGCTCTGGCCCCACACTGTCACCACGGTGATCCTGATCTCAGTCCTGCCTGCCAGTCTCACTCTCTGACACTGCTCCCCACCCATCCATGGTCCCATCCCATCTGTGTGCTCTGCCCATGTGGTCCCAGACCAATCTCCATGGAGACCTTGGGATCACCAGGTGGTGACAGTGTGGGGCTGGGCCCTGGGGTAGAGCCACTTCGGGAGTTTTGGTGAGCTGTTGTGGTGAGAGCAGATGCTGACAGCCTGCAACAGCTCACCTCAAACTACCTAAGTGGCCCTCTGGCCCAAATAATTCCCCACCCCTGTGTTCCTCTTTGTCTCCTTCAATACCCACCCATTCACACACTGCCTGGCTACAGCATCCCCATATCCATACTCCACTACCATGTCATGTAACAAGCTGTCCCTACATCACTGAACTGGCACATGTAGGAAGTTGGTAATTTTGCAGGTGAGGCAGTGCTGTCCAAGGAAAACCCTCACTATCAAGGAAAAGTAGCCACAGATGTGGGGGATTGGACTAGATGACCCTCAGTGTCCCTTCTACCCCAAAAATTCTATGGATACAATTTGGACAGTTCTTTGCAAATGGAAGGTATTTATTGTATTGTTTTCCCCTCCCTTCTCCACCCAAAATGCTAACAATTGGAGGCAATGACAGACCCCATATTTCAGGCTTGAATGCTGGTACCAGCATATAATGTGTTTTCTCTTTGTATCTTCTTAGAGCAGACAAAGGCCTTAGCTCTACAAGACAGTTGCACTGCTTTAATTTAAAACTGATATTAAAAATGGACCCTGCATTGACTTCTGCTAAACCCACATCAGCCCCTTTTAAACCGTTGAAGACAGTCCACACAGGAGTTCACACCTGTTTAACTCTGCAGCTTTCAAAGAGCATTTAAACTAAGCTATGGAATCTTCTGTGTTCAGACAGGCCTCTCCCTGGAGTAACAAGCAGGACTTGTGTTTCCAGAGCACAGGAGGAACAGAGATACTTCTCTAGCATCTAGCCACCATCTGCACTGGTGCTATTTATCTCCCTTATGAGACAACACATAGGAGATTAACAGCCACTAACAACTTCCTTCCGGTGGCAGAAAAAACTGACAGAGCTGGAATCAGGAGCTCTTTGATTGGCAGCTAGTTACTCTGCTTTTACTCTGCTGCTGAATATTAGAGGGGCCCGAAACACAGAGCCACTGCACCTTCTCTCAGACAGGTTGGAGGACACTTCCTTCCCCTTCTCTTGTTGCACTGCCAGCGGAAGAGCAAGTGCATGAGTAAGTACCAGGCTTTTAGGAAATAGCTCAGCTCCAGGATCTCATTCCCAGGGAGTGAGAAAAAAAAAAAAGACAGGCAACCAGGAAGAACCCTACACCACAGCAGTTTTCTCTGGTGGCCAACATGCAGGAAAGACAGGAAAAGCAGAGAGAGGGGAATGTGCTCTCTCCCATGAGACAGTTACTGCGCATTAGCCTAATAACACTGACCAGTAGCATGCCATGGCAAAAACAATGATAATAGCCTACTGTGCAGTGTTATTAGGCTAATGCACAGGAAGCATCACTAAATAACCATGTGCTGGCGCTACTGCACAGTAACTCTAGGTACTGCTCATTTAGTTAGTATTTTATTATTAAGGAAGTACTAAACTAAATGTGCAGTATCTAAGGCTCATTAATGAATATGTAGATGTACCCAGTGATCCTCAACTGGGGTGGGTGGTGTATATACTTTTCAGGGTGCCACACAACAGCAGCACTGCTTGGTGTGCAAACACCTGCATGTGATTCACAAGGTAAATGCAGAGATTTCAACTAGGAACCCAGGGTGTGAGAAACTTGCCCTGGTCTTTCTGAGGCCTTTGCCACAAAGAACGGCTCTGTGATTTTTCCACAGTCACAAAATGAGCAACAAACAAGAACCAGCATTTTCTGAGGGGGGTTTTGAGAGGGGTCCCTCCAGTCTCGAAAGGCCCATGAGGGAAAAAAAAGTGGGACACGGCACAGGAAAAAAAGGCTGGGGAGATGTGGACAGAGGGCACAAGGGAACCCGGCACACAAAGAATGAGAGGGGTCTGCCGCCAGCAAAAGGATGAAGAGGAGGGGAAGGAGATGGGAAGGTAGGGAGCCACAAGGAGAGGAAAGCAGGAAGAAGAGCTGAAGAAGAAAAGGCTTCTGGTCAGAGAAGAAGGGTGAGAGCTGAGGAAGGAGCTGCAGGAAGCCAGGCTGAGTCCCGGGCAGCGGGCGGTTTCCTTGGGGGCCGGGGAGGCTGCAGGGTTGTCACAGCAGGGCTCATCCTGCCTCAATCAAAGGGCAGAGGGAAGGAGTGGGGCTCGGCTCTTTCCTCCCCCGCACAGCCACGGGGCCGGCACTGGCAGGACATTTCGGGTCCCTCGGGAGCCACACTCACCCGAGCAGCGCGATGTACTGCGGCGCGGCGGCCAGGCTGGCGTCCAGCGTGAGGGACAGGAAGGCGGCGCTCACCTCGGCGGCCGGCGTCCCGCGCAGCGCCGCG